AAATTCTGTCTGTTGTAAGTAGCATGCACCACCTTATTTTATGAACCTACACGGCCTTATATAAATAGTGAAGCCGCGTTCATTTTATCTAGCCGTGTTTTTCCACTTTTGGCCGCGATAACACGGCCCTCTAGCTAAGACCCTGCAGGGGGGTGTGGATATTAAATGGAATGGCCCTTGTTCGTTTTATGTATTAAATTAACCTAGTGTTTGGTGGCAAATACATAGAATTGCATATCATTTTCTCACTCCAGTACAGCATAAGCATCAATACATTTGAGGTTGACCCCCTGTCAGATTCACTGAATTATGCCGTAGTGAAACACAAGAATACGTACATCCTTTTGGTAATTACACCATGACTACATCCTTTGCCTGCTAGGGATGCTTGCTCTCATGAATCAAGACATTGAAGGCAATTTGCTCACAATTCATGAGAATGAGGCTCCCAGCTAGGCTAAGGAGAGATTTATGACAATCCTGCTGTTCACCATTCAGTCACTCATTAGAAAGGACCTACTGCAGCCATTAATATATAATTAACATAAATGCATTAGTTTAAACTCTCAAAAGTATACAAATTGCAGTGCATAAATTCCAGATTATTACTTATGTCCCAAAAAAATGCTCCCAACTTTGTTTTGAAATATCACAACTTACATTATCTTTGCTAAAAGTTTCAGATTTGTATATAGTACCAGACTATAGTACAGTACTTGACTGATCAAAATTAATAACCAACCGTATGTTTGCCTTTTTAACCCATTGAGTGGCAACAGTATAGCACTCTCCCCCTGACGAGTAAAATCATCTGGCATTAGACAGAGTAAAATAATAAAGTAGGGTGCATCTGGGTGCATTGCCACTTAAAGGGTTAAAATCACTTAAGGGACCAGTCATATTATTTAATGAATTGAACTAGAAAGGTGTATTTATTAATGACCCTAAATAATGTAGAATTGTCTAATTTAATCCAGATGGATTTAACTGTAGCCTGCACCATATGTTTAAAGCAAATTAATGTAAAGGTTGGTGACATCAGACAACATATTGTCTGGTATTAAATATATAGTATATTAGAGCATGTAAATAGACTTATAGACGTTTTGTACTTCAATTGCTACTTTATAGTCAAGATTATATTATAAATTAGATAAATTGTATAATAAAGATTTCTGCTTTTAATATGTAAGGTAGTAAAAGTGTGTGTGTTAGAA